GGGCCTCTGTACAAGAAGAAAGAGCAGAAATAGAGATACCTGTTTTAACTGACGTAAGTCTGCAATTATTTGTTTGAGAACTTTGAGAACAGAATAAAATTTATTTTAAAAACATGAGAAACAGAAATGATTGCTGAACAATGCAAAAACAAGATGAACAAGGTGATGAATGTGGAGATATAGGCATAAAAGAGCCATGATAGGAAGTTAAAAATCACATACTTTCCACTTTCACACTTCTGGGGCCTCCAGGGTGGGTCACAGAGCAATTAAAAGCCTTATATGAATCCCAGTCCGATTTTGATATTTGGACTGAACTGACTCCTGTATATTTGTTGTTTTTCTCAGCTGGATGATAATTTACAGAAGTCAGGGGGGTCCCACTGGCATCGGTCCACTGGAAAGTAAGACTGTTTGGGGAAAAGTCATGTGCAAGACAACCAAGAGTGATCTTATCTCCAGACCCAGGTTGGCACTGAACCAAAGGGAAAAGAGTTGGTGATGTAGTTGTTCCTGTGAAAGTGTCAAAAAAATGAAATACCAATATAGGTAAATGACAGAACACAGACGATCAATAGCTTGTCTAAAATCTAATAACAAATATTACAGAGAATAAAATACTGTTCCGTCCATTTAATAACCCAAAGCAATAATATACTAACAGTATCAAAATATTAATGCTTTATAGCAGCAACAACATGTTTTACTCAATCATACTTATATATATAAATATATTATTGTAATAAATTTATAATAATATTATGGCTAATGGATAATCATTTGCACACCAACTGTGACTGTTGCCAGTTTGATTGATGAATGTGTAGCGAGAGACATCTGCCCAAAAGATCATTTTAATAAATACTACATTCTACTAAATAATGTCCTATTGTTTTTTTCTGTTGTTGTTTTTCAGTTCAGATTTGATCTGAGTTCATACAACGGCACTAATATGTTGTACTGCATATTTACTACTCTTTGCGAAACATAATAAATCACTTGTTAATCAAATATTTGATTTTCCAGAGTTGCATGCAGTTTCGTTCACAGAGGAGATTGTTTAAGTTAAAAATCATATAAATACAAACACACAATATTACAGATGATCAATTGCTCATCTAAAAAAAGGAATTATTGGTTGAATGGTTTTACCTCAGAATGAAAATATGGAAACCCAAAGTGTTCAGTGTTAAATCATAATAACTACCAGACATATGACTTGAATTGTGAAGTAATTCAAAATTTAATTAATTCTGAACACTTCAGGTAGAATGATAAACATATTTTATGTTATTTTTATAACCATGTAAAGACAGTAACTGTCTAGCATCAATGTAAATATAAAAATGCCTCATTGTAAAAGGATTTGAGCTTTTTATAAACTGAAACAATGCTGTGTTCATTTAAAAACACAACATATTTTAATAGTAACTAATGAATAAATAATGACTAAATAATAATGTTAATATAACGGACTATATAAATCATCAACAAGTTAGCAGTGTAACACATTTATTGTTATTTGTGCTTTTTTGTCCAGCACACGGATAAACAGACCAGAGCTGAGCGTGTTAAAACAATGGCTTCCACCAACATTCAAAACCACAACTGCTGCTTTGTGGGATAAAGGGTCAATATAATATATAACAATAATAATTAACATATTCAATTATTTCTGATAAATAATGAGAAATAATTTCTTATTTCTGATTGAACGTCTTGTTAAAAATGATAAACACAGTAGTTACCTCATATTGCAATAAGAAATACTTTGTCCTGTCCTTTTTCCATCACAAGAGTGTCAGATTATTACTCTTAAGTTTTTGTATGGATCTATATCACAGTGGCCCCCACCCAGCTATCACAGTGACAAACCCTAATACAAAAATCAAACACTGTTTCCTGCACTGGAGAGTCAGGGGACCTACGTCATCAGCGTTGGCTGAGAATAAATCAAGAAAACTATATTTAAGGTTAGTGAATTCTTATTTTGCAGTATACTGATTTTATGCTTTTTTAAACTATTATTCTGTCATTAATATACCATGACAAGGTTTATATTTATTTTAACCCGAAGAACTGAAATTAACGCCAAGGTTCTTCATATTCAAGGTCGATCATATTTAAACTCTCAGGTTGTTAAGGGACTTGAAGAACTCTCACATAAAACACTCAAATTAAAATAAAAAATTGATAATATATTGACTGACAATAACTAATGTCGTTATATAGTTAAACACATAACTATGCAAATCTCAAAGCAATGATGAATGTTTAAATTTGACTCAAACTTTGTTTAATTTGGTCTTTTTGGCAGCCACCAGTAGATATCAGTTGTCAAGAAGGACTAAGGACTCATAACAAGAGATGATCAACCAGATGGTGTGTAAACTCCTCTCTTTGTTTAAGTTTAGGACAAGTTGTGACAGAAGCATAGCGTGGAGAAATGCATCAAATATTCTGAATTAGGAGGTATTTTAAAATACAACGTATATAAAGTGGTCTGTGTACAGCTCTGTGGCTTTCTGTATCTCTGTGCTTTCGAGATCAATAATAAACAGCACAGTCTTCAGTCGTCAGGCTGTTTATCTGCAGATACACCTGGTCCATGTTGTCTCTGGAAATGGTGAAGCTATTCTGGACTGACGCGAAAAAAGCTTTAGTTTTTTCTGCATCATCAGCTCAGTTTGTAAGATTCTTTATGCTGCTTTAGCGCTGGTTCAGACTCGGTCAGAGTGTGTCTGCAAACACAGAAAGAAAAGCAGTCTGATCAGAACTCAAGATTTGTAATGACTCCTCCTCACAGTGCTGAAAATACTTACTCTTATTTACTCAGATGCTATTTTTTTTTAACATTTGCTTTACTTTAATTGAGGTTTCAGGGCTGACACAGCCTGTAACAAACAGATAACCAACATATGATCCATATATATTAATGGCACACAGCACTACTGAGCATTGTGATACATATTTTATTGATTTTATGGCCAGAAGAGAGGAACAGATTTGGTAACAGACTCCTATCAGGATTCTGTCGATCGTCCAAACTTCTTGTCACTTTCATGGTCACAGGGTGCACATTGAACAAAACTCATCGATACACACGTGTAGGTATACAGACAAAATACGCTGACACACAAGAGAACTTGAAAAAGTTAGAACAGCTTTTTTACCTAAATTGCATGTGTGTTGACAGGGTGAGGGAAAAAATAGTGTGTTAGTGTTTCCTCATTGCCATCACTTCCATGTGCGTTCCATGAAAGGCCATTGCTGGGATCAGTATTAAAAACACCCATGTCTGCTTTCCCTTCTTGAAAGAAAGTACTACGATTATTGTCTATTTCAATATATTGTAACTTGCTTGTGAATCCTTAAAATATAGAAAGATGGTGTTTGATTGTGTTTGAAGCTGATACACTGTTAACCTGTCAGGACGTGTCCCTGCCTTTCGGGTACTGCATGCTGGGATACACTCCAGCACCAACGTGACAATAAACAGGGAAAAGAAGCTGTGAAAATGCTGAGCATTCAGTGGCTGGATGGATGGTTTTGTAACACATACTACACTATTTATCTGAGTGGTGATATGTTTTGGTATGAGTGTATGTCCATGTGTAGTACTGTTTAGTCCTCTCAACCTTAATAATTTTTTTATATTTTTTATTTACCAGTTTTATGAGTCTGCACGATGGTCTGCACTTGATGAAGTTCTGCATGTTCATTCATGAGAATATGTATCTTTCAATTCTTAATCCTGTCAGATGGCTGTAATCAACCCAGTGAGGATGATTACTGTAGGTTTTTTAAAATAATAATCATATCAATAGTACCTGATAAAAAAGGCAGCTGAAGGAAATTGGTCTTGGGTCATCACTATATTTATGTTAAGACCCTGAATCATGCGTTACACAATTAAGAATAAATAAAAAAATAACTAATTCATTTACAGTATTTACTTATTAATTTATTAATTAATTTAAGGATTTTGTGCAGATTTATATATATTTATATATTTTTTTATTCTCAATGCATGTACTAATCAAGGCATGGGGACACAATTTCACCGTGCAAATACAGAGTAATCAGCAGTTTTGCAAAAAAGTGGTAGGAAGTGAATGCTCCCAGCGGTGGTGGTAATTAGGGAAGTAGTTATCGTATGACCTCCTACGGCCTCTCTGGCACAGTATCCTCAGTTTTTAGAATATAGATAGAGCTTACTGCCGGAGTCATCTCTGGAGATGGTGACTGAATGGGAGTTATAGAAGAACTAGCGGTGCTTATGTAAGTGACCCACTCTACTTTTCCAGGAGCCTGTCAGATTTAGCTCATATCCAAACTGCTGAATATGAATCCAGAGGCTGTGCAGGTCCTTCTGTGTGAAACCCCCAGGCTTTTTAACCACTGGATCAGAGTCTAACCATCAACACCTGTTAAAACATTTTAAAAAACACATAAATTAATTTGGCACATGAAAAAAAGAACTGTGAAATCGAGATTGAATCTCATTCTTTGTTCAGTGAAACTAAAATGAATGTTTACTAATCAAGAAGTGTCCATATAAGTTTGTACATTCAAAAATGTTCTCACCTGTTTCATATTGAGTAACTTGGTTATCAACATTACCACTACAATATTTAATATCATCTGCTTGATTAAAACTAAACAAGAAGCAACAATTAGTGAAGCAGAGCACACCTTTACGGCATTGTGATACATTTATGGTCATTTTATGGAAGATAGGTGGTAACATCAGACCACATCTTTCCTTCCCTGTCATTTCTTGCTGTAAATGGACTTTACTGGGATAATTGTCATAGCCAGTCCTTGTCTGCCCATGGAGAGTTTTGATACAGGGATGGTGCTTCATCATGGTATTTCACATTTGTGAAAAATGCATATGATGACACTTTACTGAAGAGTTTTGGTGTTTCCTTTGTCTGTGAGATCTTGTCATATTAGTCACTTCACGCCTGGATACATACATACAAATAAAGAGTGAAAGAGGAGTTTCTCAAGTTTATTTGTAGCTCTGACAGTTTCTACAAAGTTTCACTGCAACAGGTGCGGTCCCTGAGGTGCAGAGAGAGGGGGAAGTGACTCTCTAAAGATAATATGTTCAGAAACGCCAGGAAATTGAAAAACCTTCAGAGCTTCACTGATAACAGCAGTTTACAGTATGTTAACTTGATGTGGTGTTTTTTTAGAATTTTAGATTTTCAGAACAAAATCCTCACAAGCACACTATCTCTCACATTCATACTTCTTTTACCGTTTTTGTCAGGCAAAATCTTGTCGTTTAATAAAAAAAAATATTGTTTGTTGAATTACTGATTAAAGCAAGATGCCCAAATGGAAAACAAAGATTTATATTAAAATAACAAAATGCAAAAACCACATACAGAATATAACTAATTCTACTACAGGACAAAGTGTTATTTACATATCAATTACAAGTTCGTACTACACTTCACTAACACATTTTAATTCAATTCAAGAAAGTTTATCAATAACTTCTGTATCATAATGTGGCAACAAACCAAATTTATTCACATAAACAAAGAATTGCAGTTTTATTTTTTATTTTTCTACAGAGAACTATTTTTAATATATAGGCTATTATTATATATGATGTCTACTTCATTTAGCAACTGTACAAGAGATTATCAATAATGTACAAGTTTTTAAAACTAGATAAAAAAGACAAATTACAAATGAAGACCTCTAGTTGTCTATGCTGAGCCTCCATCTCATCCTTTATCTTGTCTTCATCTGAAAAAAAATCAAACAATTAAAACAATATATTATATTCACTTGTCAAATACAGATTGTTAAACAGTGGTAGGATTTGATTGATCACTTCAATCTGGAGTTTCACCCAGCTCGAGAATTGATATTGAAATGATCTGTGTGTCTTCAATACAGTAGATAGTTGTGGCCAACAGATCTGCAGCAGGTGTTCTATAATAATTATATTTGTGGTTGGATGATTGGTTCATTTTAATAACATTTTTCAAGAACTGGCATAAAAAGGTTTAATTCAGACTCGAAGACACTGTAACTACCTGTGATTTGTTTCTTAAAGATGATACTGTAAATAGTGTCTGTGCAGTGGAGCATTTAAAACAAAAAACAGCACATCGTCTTTGGTTGGAGACGCTCTTCACTCTGCTGCTGCTAAATGTTGATCACTTTCACTTGTACTGGCTGGCTGTGCCAATAAACTCTGTTCAGAACAGAACTGAAAGTGTGATGCATTTCACACCACTTTACTATGCAGTTGTGGTCATCAAAATCACCTACACAACAAACCTTTTTTTACTGAAACAAAGGTTGTCGTTGTTATTGCCAGCAATTTAGTAAAATAATATTGTGACTTTACAGATATTGCTGAGAATATATTACATGTTTGAATTTTCTTACTTTTTTGTGTCTTCTGTCTAATTTTATTAAGCTAAATAGAGGTATTAATGTGCATTAACAGGGTCTCTTTTTTCAGGATCATGTGCACTACACAAACAAGCACAGATAGAAAATCACTATCACTTTGATCTCTTCTTCTTCTTGTGCACATTCTTGTCTGTGAAGACGAGAAAAAAACTGTCCCACCCACAGTAAAACTATGCAAAGATGAGTTGGTCCAAAGTGTCTCACTTTATGTGGTATTTTTATTGTTTACTTGACTGGGCTTTATTTTATAACTTCTGTCGTACTTTGTCAAACTGTATACTTTTTTCATATGTAAATCCTGTATTATATCTTATGCAGTCTTTAGTCCTGAGTATAAGTGAAATGTAGAAATGCCCTGCATGTTTACCTTGACCAGGCTGAATATCATGCTATAGAAGAGAGAGGATATGAAGAGGAATATGAAGGAGGAGGTTGTGGACCACAGACTGCTGAACTCATCCTCTTCAATGGCATCCTCTATGCAGCTCAGACCCCAACTCTGTTTTGACTCTGAAGGAGTATCTAAGAAGAGGAAGGTATAGGTGGTTAGATGAGGTGTGTGTGTGAGTGAGTGTGTGTGTTAACAAAGAATTTTTTTATTAAGATAACACATTTATGAGCACTTTTAAAGAGAGAAAAAGATATCTACCTTTTTCTCATGATTATAATGCTCATAAACTAGAATTGAACATTATTCACTCTTTGATAACATCATGTGTGGACGTTTCTCCATATGAACATACGGTACACTACTGTGTATATGTGCTTTATATGTCAGTGTGTTTTAAAAAAACTGAAGTCATTCATGAACATGTAACAAAAGTGTCTCCATGCAACATTTATTTGAAACAGTCAGCACACTTCTCAAGCTGTTAGACAATGTGACAAAGACAGAAACACAAAATGACGACAAACAAAACTATATTAACATGTTGACAACTATTTTTACAATCACAAAGACTGATGACATCACAGAGTGCACAGATTCACGGTGGAGTACACACAGAGACAGAGCAACATGTTAGCACAAAATACTACATTTAAAGCTGGATCTACTATTTTCTGCATTCAAGTGATTCACCATGGGCCTTAGACACTGCTTTGGGGTCCATGGACTTATTTCTACCAGCAGGCCAGACGATGCAGTTGAACATGCTGTGGTTGCCCCACTTTTCCTTGGTGGTGGTGTAAACACTTGTTACCAAGTAGCCTTGTTGGGTCTTCTGTGGGGGGAAGTTAATGCCATCCTTATAGTTGCTAGTTTTATTTTCAGTGCCCTCTGACCAGGCGATGTAGTAATCCTGCAGCACAGGACCAGAGACCAGACACACCAGAGAGACCACAGCTCCTTTGCTGATGTCCTCCTCTGGGAGGGCATGGACTGTCACATTTGGCTCACTCCCATCTGAAAGACACACCAACAAGGTTCATATATATACTTTCTGTTTGCTATTATGACACGTGTACCTGCTTACCCAGATTTACAGATTAGTGTTCTACCAATCAGTCTCCATCACTCAGTAACATACCTCCTTTGTGGACAGTCAGATCCTGAATAACTGGAGTCATATCGTCTCTAATGGCAGAACAGCTCACTTTGTTGACTCTCTGCCACTCAGACAGACTACGAGTCATCGTGCTGGTTTTGCTGTGCTGAACGCCTACAGACTTGACAGTTGATTCATTAATGTTGTTGGTCACATTTTGTCCATCAATTTGCCAAGTGACTTGAATTTCATTTACAATGGTCTCGTCCTGTCCAGTAATGATACACTCCAACTTTATTTTGTTGTTGCTGAAAATTTCTTTGGCACTGGGTTGGTTCAGTGTCACTGTGACAGGAGCTACATAAAATGATGACGTCACAGAGTGCACAGGTTCCCATGGCAGAGAGCACACACAGAGAAAGAGCAGCATGTTAGCACGAAATACCACATTTATAGTTGAATCTACAATTTATCACATTCAATTGAGTTACCCTGGGCCTTAGACACTCCTTTGGGTTTCACAGACACACTTCTACCAGCAGGCCAGACGTTGCAGTAGAACATGTTGTGCTTGTCCCACTTTTCCTTGGTGGTGGTGTAAACACTTGTAACTAAGTAGCCTTGTTGGATCTTCTGTGGGGGGAAGTTGATGCCATCCATATAGATGCCGGCCTTATTTCCAGAACCTTCTGACCAGGCGATGTAGTAATCCTGCATCACAGGACCAGAGACCAGACACACCAGAGAGACCACAGCTCCTTTGCTGATGTCCTCCTCTGGGAGGGCATAGACTGTCACTTTTGGCTCACTCCCATCTGAAAGAGACGCCAACAAGGTTCATATATATGCTTTTATTTTTGCTATAAACAGATTATGTGTTGCTGCCTCCCCAGACCTACAGATTACTGTTCTACCAATCAGTCTCCATCACTCAGTAACATACCTCCTTTGTGGACAGTCAGATCTTGAATAACTGGAGTCATATCGTCTTTAATGGCAGAACAGCGCACTTTGTTGACTCTCTGCCACTCAGACAGACTACGAGTCATCGTGCTGGTTTTGCTGTGCAGAACGCCTACAGACTTGACAGGTGATTCATTAATGTTGTTGGTCACATCTAGTCCATCAATTTGCCAAGTGATTTGAATTGTATTTAAAAAGGTCTTGTCCTGTCCAGTAATGATACACTCCAACTCTGCCTGTTTGTTGTTAAAAATTCCTTTGGCACTGGGTTGGTTCAGTGTCACTGTGACAGGAGCTACATAAAATGATGACGTCACAGAGTGCACAGGTTCCCATGGCAGAGAGCACACACAGAGAAAGAGCAGCATGTTAGCACAAAATATCACATTTATAGTTGAATCTACTATTTATCACATTCAATAGAGTTACCCTGGGCCTTAGACACTCCTTTGGGTTTAACAGACACACTTCTACCAGCAGGCCAGACGTTGCAGTAGAACATGTTGTGCTTGTCCCACTTTTCCTTGGTGGTGGTGTAAATACTTGTAACTAAGTAGCCTTGTTGGGTCTTCTGTGGGGGGAAGTTGATGCCATCCATATAGATGCCGGCCTTATTTTCAGTTCCCTCTGACCAGGCGATGTAGTAATCCTGCATCACAGGACCAGAGACCAGACACACCAGAGAGACCTCTGCTCCGTTGCTGATGTCCTCCTCTGGGAGGACATGGACTGTCATGTTTGGCTCACTCCCATCTGAAAGAGACACCAACAAGGTTCATATATGTGCTTAATGTTTGCTATTATGACACGTGTCCCTGCTTCCCCAGATTTACATATTGCAAATCTACCAATCAGTCTCCATCACTCAGTAACATACCTCCTTTGTGGACAGTCAGATCCTGAATAACTGGAGTCATATCGTCTCTAATAGCAGAACAGCGCACTTTGTTGACTCTCTGCCACTCAGACAGACTACGAGTTATCGTGCTGGTTTTGCTGTGCTGAACGCCGCTGGACGATGTTGATTCAGCAATGTTGTTGGTCACATCTTGTCCATCAATTTGCCAAGTGACTTGAATTTCATTTACAATGGTCTCGTCCTGTCCAGTAATGATACACTCCAACTCTGCCTGTTTGTTGTTAAAAATTCCTTTGGCACTGGGTTGGTTCAGTGTCACTGTGACAGGAGCTACATAAAATGATGACGTCACAGAGTGCACAGGTTCCCATGGCAGAGAGCACACACAGAGAAAGAGCAGCATGTTAGCACAAAATATCACATTTATAGTTGAATCTACTATTTTCTACATTCAATTGAGTTACCCTGGGCCTTAGACACTCCTTTGGGTTTCACAGACACACTTCTACCAGCAGGCCAGACGTTACAGTAGAACATGTTGTGCTTGTCCCACTTTTCCTTGGTGGTGGTGTAAACACTTGTTACCAAGTAGCCTTGTTGGGTCTTCTGTGGGGGGAAGTTAATGCCATCCATATAGATGCCGGCCTTATTTCCAGAACCTTCTGACCAGGCGATGTAGTAATCCTGCATCACAGGACCAGAGACCAGACACACCAGAGAGACCTCAGCTCCTTTGCTGATGTCCTCCTCTGGGAGGGCATAGACTGTCACTTTTGGCTCACTCCCATCTGAAAGAGACGCCAACAAGGTTCATATATATGCTTTTATTTTTGCTATAAACAGATTATGTGTTGCTGCCTCCCCAGACCTACAGATTACTGTTCTACCAATCAGTCTCCATCACTCAGTAACATACCTCCTTTGTGGACAGTCAGATCCTGAATAACTGGAGTCATATCGTCTTTAATGGCAGAACAGCGCACTTTGTTGACTCTCTGCCACTCAGACAGACTACGAGTCATCGTGCTGGTTTTGCTGTGCTGAACGCCTACAGACTTGACAGGTGATTCATTAATGTTGCTGGTCACATCTAGTCCATCAATTTGCCAAGTGATTTGAATTGTATTTAAAAAGGTCTTGTCCTGTCCAGTAATGATACACTCCAACTCTGCCTGTTTGTTGTTAAAAATTCCTTTGGCACTGGGTTGGTTCAGTGTCACTGTGACAGGAGCTACATAAAATGATGACGTCACAGAGTGCACAGGTTCCCATGGCAGAGAGCACACACAGAGAAAGAGCAGCATGTTAGCACAAAATATCACATTTATAGTTGAATCTACTATTTATCACATTCAATAGAGTTACCCTGGGCCTTAGACACTCCTTTGGGTTTCACAGACACACTTCTACCAGCAGGCCAGACGTTGCAGTAGAACATGTTGTGCTTGTCCCACTTTTCCTTGGTGGTGGTGTAAATACTTGTAACTAAGTAGCCTTGTTGGATCTTCTGTGGGGGGAAGTTGATGCCATCCATATAGATGCCGGCCTTATTTTCAGTTCCCTCTGACCAGGCGATGTAGTAATCCTGCAGCACAGGACCAGAGACCAGACACACCAGAGAGACCTCTGCTCCGTTGCTGATGTCCTCCTCTGGGAGGACATGGACTGTCACGTTTGGCTCACTCCCATCTGAAAGAGACACCAACAAGGTTCATATATGTGCTTAATGTTTGCTATTATGACACGTGTCCCTGCTTCCCCAGATTTACATATTGCAAATCTACCAATCCGTCTCCATCACTCAGTAACATACCTCCTTTGTGGACAGTCAGATCCTGAATAACTGGAGTCATATCGTCTCTAATAGCAGAACAGCGCACTTTGTTGACTCTCTGCCACTCAGACAGACTACGAGTTATCATGCTGGTTTTGCTGTGCTGAACGCCGCTGGACGATGTTGATTCAGCAATGTTGTTGGTCACATTTTGTCCATCAATTTGCCAAGTGACTTGAATTTCATTTACAATGGTCTCGTCCTGTCCAGTAATGACACACTCCAACTCTGCCTGTTTGTTGTTAAAAATTCCTTTGGCACTGGGTTGGTTCAGTGTCACTGTGACAGGAGCTACATAAAATGATGACGTCACAGAGTGCACAGGTTCCCATGGCAGAGAGCACACACAGAGACAGAGCAGCATGTTAGCACGAAATACCACATTTATAGTTGAATATACTATTTTCTACATTCCATTGAGTTACCCTGGGCCTTAGACACTCCTTTGGGTTTCACAGACACACTTCTACCAGCAGGCCAGACGTTGCAGTAGAACATGTTGTGCTTGTCCCACTTTTCCTTGGTGGTGGTGTAAACACTTGTTACCAAGTAGCCTTGTTGGGTCTTCTGTGGGGGGAAGTTAATGCCATCCATATAGATGCCGGCCTTATTTCCAGAACCTTCTGACCAGGCGATGTAGTAATCCTGCATCACAGGACCAGAGACCAGACACACCAGAGAGACCTCAGCTCCTTTGCTGATGTCCTCCTCTGGGAGGGCATAGACTGTCACTTTTGGCTCACTCCCATCTGAAAGAGACGCCAACAAGGTTCATATATATGCTTTTATTTTTGCTATAAAAAGATTATGTGTTGCTGCCTCCCCAGACCTACAGATTACTGTTCTACCAATCAGTCTCCATCACTCAGTAACATACCTCCTTTGTGGACAGTCAGATCCTGAATAACTGGAGTCATATCGTCTTTAATGGCAGAACAGCGCACTTTGTTGACTCTCTGCCACTCAGACAGACTACGAGTCATCGTGCTGGTTTTGCTGTGCTGAACGCCTACAGACTTGACAGGTGATTCATTAATGTTGCTGGTCACATCTAGTCCATCAATTTGCCAAGTGACTTGAATTGTATTTAAAAAGGTCTTGTCCTGTCCAGTAATGATACACTCCAACTCTGCCTGTTTGTTGTTAAAAATTCCTTTGGCACTGGGTTGGTTCAGAGTCACTGTGGAAGAACCTACATAAAAGAGAACAACGTAGTACGAACCATTTTTCAACATTTGGACAATTAGAAAAACTGTGTCATGGAATTCATGTCAAGATCCAGCATAAAATACTTTATCTCACTATTTAGTGATAACCTTTGTAGCACTGTACCTTTTGAGGCCTTCTTTTTATATTGTGTTTCTCTGTAAGTCACCTCACAGGTATACACAGCGTTACTGTCCCACTCAGCGTTGTTGACCTTCAGGACACTGACAGCTGAATATAAGCCTCCAGTTCTTTGGATGGGACTTTGAATGTAGTTGTTCAACTCTGCGTCATTCTTTTTCCACTTGAATGAGTCAAGTGTTCCATTACCGCCCTCAATTGTGCACACCAGGGTCTGGGTGTCTTCACTTGGCACTGATAGCAAAGTCACTTTTGGAGGAGGCTCTGAACAGGTGAAGGAAAAAGCAGTTATAGTCATTTATTGCGATAGTATTCTGTATCATTCGCCTGCGAATTGATAAGATGATTGTGCTGTGTGTTTCAGGCAGACAAAGGAAAATGTGAGGGAATAAATATTGTTCTACATTCATTGATAAAAGCAGGACGAATGAGGAGGACATATAGATAAGAAATCAGAGGCATTAGTAAATTGAAAAATCACATACTTTGCACTTGCAGATTTGTGGGAGATCCGTTGTGATTTACAGAACAATTAAAAGACTTCCTTGAATCCCAGTCAGATATTGATACTTTGACCAAACTGACTCCTGTATATTTGTTGTTTTTCTCAGCTGGAGGATAATTTTCAGAAGTCAGGGTGGTCCCACTGTCATCGGTCCACTGGAATGTAAGACTCTTTGGGTAGAAGTCACGTGCAAAACAACCAACAGTGATTTTATCTCCAGACCCAGGTTGGCACTGAACCAAAGGGAACAGAGTGGGTGGTGTTGGTGTTCCTGAGAAAGTGTCAAAACATGTAAATATAAATACAAGAACACAGATGATCAATAGCTTGTCTAAACTCTGACTACAAATATTAATAAAGAGAATAACATGCTCCTTTGTTAACTTTAGGACCATGTAACCACCATGACAATAATATATCCCATCAGTATCATTAATATTAAAATTCTGAAACATAAAATAAATAAATAAAACTTTACCCTTTCCCAGCAGCAATATCATGTTTATATAAATAATATAATGGCTAATGTAAAAACATCTGCAGGATAGCACCGATAACTCTTTGACCGATTAAAGCGAAAAGAGAGAAAAATCATTTTAATGAATACTACATTCTAATAAATAATGTCCTATTGATTATTTTGTTGTTTTTTAGTTCAGATTTGATCTAAGTTCATACAGTGGCACTAATATGTAATACTGCATATTTCCTACTCTTTGGTTAAACGTAATTAATCACTTGTTAATTAAATATTTGCCATGTGTGGCATCGGTCCACTGGAAAGTACACTTTGGGTGGAAGTCAACCAAGAGTAATTTTATCCCCAGTCCCAGAGTTACACTAAACCAAAGGGAACAGAGTCGGTGCAGTTCCCTTCAAAGAGGAGATTTGTTAAGTTTAAAATAACAAATGCGCATCAATCACAAGCCATGTTTCCATCTAAGTGTCATGTGAATTTTAAGGGGACTTCTGAAATGTCGCAAAAAAGAAAAAATAAGTAATTGCAAAATAGGTGTGTTTCCATCAGTGAGTTTGGAGCGAATAAACCAGGTTACGTCAAGCGTAGCTACGTCAGTAGTTGACGTTAATAAACAAGATGTAGGGACTATGGGTTCCAAACCAGAAACAAAACCAGTCACATGGAATCGATGGCAAATTATCTATGAAAAATGGAGAGAGGTCCTCAGGAATGTGTTTCAAGCGGCCAAGTTCCTATAAGCCATCTCTCCGCACATTATGGGAATATCCGGCAAGACGACAGCAGAAACAGCTGATGAGATGTGAGTTACATTTTCGCTACATCAGAACTTATTCGGCAAAAGTGTTTCTTTCTCCCATTTAGCGCATTTACTCTTTTTCAACAAAGGCAAAAACCACCTCAAGCGAGCGTAAAAACCTTTTTGCAAAAATGAGGATTTTTTTTTCAAATTTTGCCGTCTCCATTAACCTTTTCTAATGCGATACTTCAAAATGCGCATAAAAAAACTTTGATGGAAACACGGCTACAGACAATCATTTGCTCATCTTTAAACTCAGTTATTGGTTGAATGTTTTTACCTCAGAATTAAAATATGGAAACCCACAGTGTTCAATGTTTAATCATAATAACTACCATACATGTGACATACATGAAATTGTGAACTAATTTAAAAAGTGTTAAAAACATTTAATTAATGCTGAGCACTTTGGGTATAATATTAAACATACTTTATTTTATCTTTAGAAACATGTGAAGACTGACTACAAAATCAGCATCACTGTAAATATGAAAAAGCCTCATTGTTGTAGGATGTGAGCTTTTCTTAAACAACACTGGGTTGATCTTAAAAAGCTTAAAAAACTGGTTTTATAGTACCTAATAAAAAAGACTGAATGTTAATATAACGGATTATATAAATCACCATCAAGTTAGCACTGTAACACATTTATTATTATTTGTGCTTTTCTGTCCAGCACACAGATAAACAGACCAGAGCTGAGCATGTTAAAACAACGGCAAAACCACAACTGCTGCTTTGTGGGATCAAGGGTCAATATAATATATAACAATAATAATTAATGTATTAAATTATTTCTGATGATGATTTTGTGCTTTTTTTAACAGTGAATCAAAAAACCTAAAAATGTTTTTGGGAAGAATTACAGATAGTTGATGTGAAATGATTCCTCTAAAAACCTTAAGTGCAAATGCATACAGTCCTTTAAAAGTCGTCCCTGTGGTATTTCAAATTAATTTATATACTATTGCCTACTACATAAGATGCTATATAACACAGTGTACTTCATTATGTCTTTGTTCAGTGTTCTATTGAAACACATACTGAACCTGTATTTAAACACACAAAGAAAATATATATTACTATGTTGAAGGGAAACTTCTTACAAAACAAAATGCAGGTATGGTGCTGTACAGTATATAATTACTGTTCACAGTAATAAAATGTGTTGAATAATAATGTGAATAAAAAGATACAGACATTCATCAGCAGAAATTCTAATCCAGCTAAATACATTTTAAGATCAAGTCAAACCACCTCCTGCATTAAGCGATAATCCTAAACAACACACTTTCTAAGAAACAGCTGCGTTAAAAACATCTGGCTGCTCTGTTTTCTAGTTTGTCCAACATGAGCATGAACTGAAATAAGACCATGATGTAAACCTCTCCACCAGCAATACTTATATTAATAAAAGAAAAAGAAACTAGTGAGTAAATATATAATTTAAATGTGTCTTACCTGTAGATACTGTGACTTTAGTCCCACGACCCCAGTAGTGAAGTAATCACAGTGCTGCATCTCCACTCACTGCTTGTACAAAAACCTAACGTACCAGTAAAATGTGTTAAAAGCTCATTAAGTTGATGAAATACACAGAAATCCTGGTCAGTTTTGTATCCTGTTGTCATCTATGTGGTTTGTGTTTATTCTTAATCAGTTCTTTAAGTTAATATTTACTGGATGGTAACATTTATATCTGGGCCCTAACTGTGACTTTAAACTGCTAAATTAATACTAAGTACTGATCTTCTTGTTAATAATGAAAAACACAGTAGTTACCTCATATTCCTACTTTGTCCTGTCCTTTTTTCCATCACAAGAAAGGCTGAGTGTCAGATTATTGCTCTTAAGTTTTTGTATGGATCTATATCACAGTGCCACCCCATTGCCATCACAGTGACAAACCCTAATACAAAAACCAAACACTGTTTCCTGCACTTGAGAATCAGGAGACCTACGTCGTCAGCAGTGGCTAAGAATAAATCAAGAAAACTATATTTAAGGTTAAAGTTGGTGAATTCTTATTTTGCAGTATACTGATTTTATACATTATTTATTGCATTTTTCATTTATAGTCATCATTTTTTCAATAATATACCATGGCAAGCCTTATGTATACATTTTAATCTGAAGAACTGAAAATAATGCCAATGTTCTTGTGTATATATATATATATATATATATATATATATATATATATATATATATATTGATACAAGTCAAACCCTCTAAAAGGAGGTTTCCATCTGTTATTAAGACCAAAATGTTGGTCATATTTAAACTCTCAGGTTTTGAGGGACTTGAAGAACACTGAACAAAATACATTCAAATGAAAATAAGAAATTGATAATATGTCAAATGAAAATAATTATTTTTGTTATAAAGTTGATAAATGTGTAAATATCAAAGCAATGATGAATGTTTAAATTTGATTCAAACTTTAAACTTGTTTAATTTGGTCTTTTTGGCAGCCATCAGTAGTTATGAGGGGTCAAGAAGGACTAAGATCATTTTTTGTAATTGTTTTTAAAGTTCTGCTCAGTTTTAAATTAAGAGATGATCAACCTGATAGTGTGTAAACTCCACTCTTTGTTTCAGTTTAGGACAAGTTAGAATTAGGGAACATTTTAAAAACAACTTGCGATTCTGGACTGACGTGGAATAACCTTTGGTGCCTCTGGTCGGAGCAGAAATGAAAGCAACCCACTCCAGTCCTTTTCCTTCAGCTTGTCTGATCCAACTGATATCAGCGCCACCATCTGATGTTCCTGCATAAGTACAGGTCAGTTTGTGGGATTCGCTATGCTTCTTCACCACTGGTTAACACGCTGCCGGAGTCTGACTTCAAACACCTGTGGAGGAGTCAGACAGCAACAGAAACTGTTGTGAATTATTTTAGAGCATTATAGCACAAATTGTTATCATTAATTACTAGAGCGATGGTGGTCTATATTGTCATCATTTAAAGTGTTATTTTAGAGTGTAAAGTTAGGATCACAGTGTTAAAACACTATAGCTCTGAGTGTATGTGCTCCTTTTGTATCTAACTGCCCAGGCTCAGCAGTAGCACGTGTGTGTGTGTGTGTGTGTGTAAGCAAGCACATGTGCTTTGGGAGCACAGTGAGGAAGCACAGTGAGACAGCAAGGCATCATCAAAAACACCAGCAAAGGAAAATGTAGAAGCAGAATTAGTGAAAATTGTGTTACAAAACATACATCAATATAGTTCATCACAGTAAGAATGTCCTGTCTCTAGCAAACAGCACAAAAGACACCAGCTTATTCCACAAAGTCAGGTTATGGTTAAAATAGCATGACCAGCAGAGGGCATGCCTAGGACACAGAGAGGGGGAGCAGTGCAGACAAAAAACAGTCATCAGTCATTATCTTTAATCAGTATTAATAAGTAATCATTCTTAATTCATCATTTTTAATCATTTTATTATTCTTAATTAGTATTAATCATTAATCATTCTTAGTCAGTTTATTAATTATCCTTACTTACTTTTTACTCTTTTTACCGACATGTGCCTTGTCTTTACCTATAAGTGCTGTACTGTAGTCATGAAAGCAGTAACAAGGTCATTGTGGTTAAGATCCTGGAGTGGGAGCATTGAATGCAGACACTGAGACTATACACGCCTTGTTCAACTGTTAAGATTTATGACTGCAGGAGAGGCTGCAGGTGTTCAACATCTGCTGCTTGTGCATGCTTTGGCCTACTGCTGTTATGACTACATGAGGAACTGCTGATGTGTTAGTCTGCTGATATTAAGACTACATGTTTAATTACTGATTAAGGGGATGATTGTCAACTTCCAAACTCTGATGCTTATAGCCTATGTGAACTTTGAGTAAACTTGCTGAAGGAATTTTTGCTTAACTTTTCACGATAGAGAGAGGATGAGCTTTTCACGTCAGAAGGGGATGAACAGAAGACGTCAAAAAGATGATAAGATGATAAACAGCCAGCATAACATCAAGATTACTGTAAGAAACCAAGCATTAATGAAAGATACAGCATTACATATGTTATTCTTGTATTAATTTTTAAGAAATATAATTGTGTGTCAGATTATGCATGCATATCTTAAAAAAAAAAACGGTGAGACTGCAGTTGAAATGTAAATGGTGAATTTCTTAACCAGTAGTGTAAAAATATAGAAAGTCAGCAATACAGTATTGAATGACAGCTGGAAAACGCTGTTAACTGGTAAGCAGAGGATAAGAAATTCACCATAAGGAAAGGAGGGGGCACACCAGCCCAGAGGGGGATATATGTTCTCATCTCAGGGCGTCATATACCGACAATTTGAGAAAGAGTGACAAAGCGTAGTTATTTGATGCTAAAGGGTACCTTATCGGGTCATAGGCCCAATCCCAATGTCCCCCCTAAGCCTTAAGCTCTGAACCCTCACAGACTTTACTGACGTCACTTGGAAAGTGATTGAGTGCAAGAGGCTGTGAGGCCTCAAAATGCTGTAAACAGGAACAGGACAGCCCTTTGCCACTTTATCACGTTACCTTGACGATGCTGAAACCGATGCTGCACACTTTGTATTTGATGTTTTTGCCTTATTTTTAAGTCCTGCAGGCTCTTGTCCTACAGAGTGGAGGAGAGGTAGCCTAAATGTCAATATATATATTTGTAATAAATCAATAGACTATTGTTGGTCAAATAGCGTCATCAAGTAAACACTAAAATAAATAGTTGAATAAACTAAGTATGTCATAAGTTTATTGCATTCCTCTGACTTAATGTGTTCTATGCAGCATCTTAAGCTAAGAAAACTTTCAACCATTTTAACATCAGATGTCGATGCTTGTTTGTTTACTGTTTTCTTCTTCTCTTAATACGCAGATTTGCTGTTTGCTGCTCGCTTCCGGGCTTGCCCTGGAGGGATGTTGTACGGGTTTATCTGTCCTGTTTTGGAGTAAACTCTTTTGCACCGACTCTTGACCGTCTCCAGAGACGTTTTTGTCTGCAAAGTTATTGACTATAGTAGAAAGTTAATAGAGTATTTTTTGACAAAGTTTATAAAGCTGGTGAAGGTGGAGACCAGGCTTCAACTGGCCTAGCCTGGCCACATCTGACCCAACAAAACTTTGAAAAAGATGCAGAAGCATGTGTTCACCAGAAATTGATGATAGCACCAGCAACATTATACATATAGCTAAAGTCATAGTGAAAATGTGTTGTTTTTCTGGTCAGTAATTTTATTTCTTTTCTTCAGTTTGAAGAGAGATATAAGGTTGAAAGTGATCAAGGTTTGAAATGACTCCTCACAGCGCTGAAAATCTATTTATGGGATTTGATCACTCAGAAGGTCATTTATTGATTATATTAAGAAATTAATTACAGACAGATTCTGATTAATTGTCTTTTTTTTTTAAGTAAGTTTCAGGTTTCGGGGCACACACAGCACAGCTTCGTTTTGTGGTACAATGTTTTGTCATTTTATGTCCAGAAGTGAGGAACAAATTTGGTAACAGAGTCGTATCAGGATTCTGTCCATTGTCCAAACCGCTGGCCTCTTTCATGGTTACAGGGAGGAGCTGTTCTTCTTAGTGCACATTGAACAGTACTGTTTGAATACACACATGTAGTACTAGGTACACGGAAAAAAACCACATACATACAGATGTGCAATTGAAAAAAATTATGGTACCTAAATTGCATATGTGTTGACAGGGTGAGGAATATTTTGTCGGTATTTTCTATTTCAATGCAACGTAACTCTAAGGGTTGCCAACTTCATTACAAAAAAATAAGGGACACCTGCCACAGCGGGGGCCACACCCATCGGGGGCTCGACAACAACAGGTGCGATGGTGTGCCAGTGGTGGTATATCACAACTTAAAACATGTTTTCAGAAATGTATTAAGATTGATACCAGTGGACATTATAATAAGCTCTCTACTATCAAATCAGTGTGAACAGATGCACTCAGTCTCTCTTTATCACACCTCAACAGAATAGCTGATTATACGGCTATGACAATAATAAACACAGGCCAACAATGTGTGACAGTGAGACCACAAAAAATAATGTGAGCGGTATTTTATTGACTTATTAAATCAACATGTCCATAACTTATTAACTATAAATAGGATAAAACGCTTTGATACAATTGGATTATAAAAGACTTGCAAAGGATTTTCTGTAAACATGAACATCAGTGGACCAGAAGTTGTAGGCCTTGTGTGCAGTATGGGAGCATGTTAGGCCTACTTCCTTTTATAAATGTTTTCTTGTCAAAAGTTCACTCCTCATGAGCTCCACAGAGCATGTGTTCTTGCTGTCACTTTGTTAGTCATTCTGGAAAATATCATTCCATATCATCTGAGTGCATGGTGTGGGGCAAGGCGGAAGACCCGAGTCCAGGTGTTCCAGCTGTACTAGAGCCTTTGAAAATTACAGAAGCGGTGGCCTCTGAAGTGTTGCTATCACCATGGAGAAGCTGATGCCAGTCTCGCTATGCAACTTCTCAACCTGCCAAAAGGAGCATGCCATGGACTCTTTTGAAGCTTATCCTGAAGAGCAATTATGTTCACCTGAGCAAAGTGCAGTGCCCAGCATAGTCAGAGGGTTCGCCACTACTGGTGGTTGGAAGAGTAGCAGCGATCTCTGATCTACCTGAACACCTCCGAGATCAGGTCGCAAAAACGTTTTATCCACCTGGTTTATCCACCTGGTCCACATTGTTGTCTCTGGAAATGGTGAAGCGATTCTGGACTGATGTGAAATAAGCTTGTTGGTGGAATTCATGGTCGATAAACCGCTGGATCGATACCAGTGAGAATCCACAGACCCAAATATGTCTGCAGATCTATTTGATCCATCTCACTCCACTTGTTGCCGTCCACACAAAGCCCCTCCTGGTTTGTCATGTCCAGCACGACCTTTTATATTTGCTTTGGCCGAAACAGCTCCTCTGTTGAAGCATAATTCTCATCTTCTTCACAGTTGTTTTCTTCCTCTGTTACATCTTCTTCTTCTGCAGATTTCTTGTTAAATTAATTCAAGAGCCTTTGACACAGTATAGTGCCTTTTTATTCTGTTGTCTCAGACTAAAATGGCTAAAAGGCTTCAAAAACTCGTTGTTGTTGTTGTTTTGAAAGGCATATCAAAGGTTTGATGAGAACACGTTTACAGAGATGTGCTGTATCTTTGAAGTTTGTTAGGAGGTGTCCCTGTCTGCTGCTGGGATCAACTCCAGCACCAAAGTAACAATAAACAGTGAAAATAAGCTGTAGAAATGCTGATGATGTAACGGTGGTTTTGTAACACATATTTTGGTGTTGATGTGTTTTATTAGTACTGTTGTGTCCACTCCTTAATCATTTTTATATTTCTTTTTTTACCAGTTTTATGAGTCTACACTTTATGAAGTTCTGCATGTTGATCCTATCAGACTCACCTGCTTGTTCCACTCGAGGTAAAAGAAGCTACAGATTTATTGCAGGATATGTACAGAATGATCAGGCGAAGGTACCAAAAACACAAGTCAAGAATCTGGGTTACTAGACAAGGCAATGGTCAAAACACTTAGGCTAGACGGGAAATATCACTAGGGAAAAGGCTGGAACTCTGTCACAAGGAACCATACAATCTGGCAAAGACATCAGGGGACAGTGGGTTTATATATACGATGGGAGGGGAGACAATGGCACACAGGTGTAGCACATTAGGGACAGTTAATCACACATGGAGGGAAGGCAGACGAGGACCAGAAACGAGACACATGGGCCCAATCCCAATGTCCCCCCTAAGCCCTAAGCATAGACAGTATATTACTGGATGAAGCCACCCAGCTGATTTGAATGTAAAGTAAAGAAGTAAAGCCGAAATCTGAAATGATTTCCTCACCGAAATCTGAAATGATTTTCTCACATAATAAACTCCAGATAATTGTATTTCCCATTCTGTGATAAACACTGTAGTTCAGCTCTCTGATCTGAGTGTTTCAGAAATATATAAATCTGTCCCAGTATCCTGTCATAAGTTGCTGATGGTGTGTTTATAAGTGAGGAAGAGTTTGCATAGACCTCCCTCTACATGCTTAAAAAGGGAAGACGTGACACAGAAACATTTCAGCAGAGGAAACTGGCAACTCATTACTGCACGAACTGAGTTGGGGAAATATTTTCATCTCGGCCAAATTACAAAAGGGAAGTTTCCATCCATTTAAGAGATAGAGCTACAATTCAAATTTTCATTGTAGGATGTTATTTTCCACCTCATGGCATGGAAAGAGGAGACAGATCTATGGGCTGATTTTTGTATCAGTACAGACTGAATTTGAATCATTTAGACCTGAATTTGAAATGCTCAACTTGAATTTGAATTTATTAGTTTGAAATTGAATTCCAATAAACTTGAAACTGAATTTGATACTATGAATCTAAACTGAAACTGTATTAGAGTCTCATAAAAAACTCAAGTCTTTGTGTGCTTTCACTTTCAGTTCTCTAAATTCAATTTCAATCCACAAGATTAAGGTTGCATCCGAAAAGTCAAAAAAATCTCCTTTCCTAACCACCGGATTCTCCTTCACATCTTTCCTTGACCTCATGACGTTTTCCTTCGAGGTCAAGGAAAGATGTGAAGGAGAATCCGTAAGGACTTAGGAAAAGAGGACGGCGGGTCTAAGAGAATCCCACTGCTCTTCTAAGCGACGTAAGTATGTGACGGCAGATTTTACTGACGTGACCTGCCGTGATGAAACTACAATGTTCAGAAGATGGACTACAAAAAGCGTGTTGTTGTAATGCAGGCCATCTAAAGGTGGACAACATGGTGGAAAATATTAGGCTACATTATAACCAAGATAGCAAAAAGGCAGATAAGGAAGCCTACCAGTCACTAAATAATGGACAGGGTTGTCACATTGAGAATGCTTGCTCACACTCACCCTCCTGCCCACCCATAGGTGTATTTATCAACATGAATCCCAATTGTATGTAAATACAGTGTTTCCCACAGAATGACTGTGCCGAGAGAGAGAGAGAGAGAGAGAGAGAGGGAGCGACTGGGCGAGAGGAGATGCTGAGAGAACATATGCACTACGCCGAGTTCTGTCATCAAATACGATTATACCCATTTTAAATAGTAACAAAATCAATCGAAAATCAGCGTTGATAATGTGGCAGGCCGCCACAAATAAATCAGTGTGTGGGAAATGCCTACTGTTGAGGTTATCCAGCTTAATCTTTGCCTTTATTAAGGCCAGGGTGTCAGCATCTGTGACTGAAGTAAAATTAATAGTTACATAATGTGAGGCTACACGCTGTAACATTATCCTCACTTTGATCACCTTACAAGAAAGCTCGCATGGGTCTCAGTTATTGTTGACAGTTTAAGATATATGCATATTAGCAAGTTATGGCATAAGAGAGAAAAGGATGGTAACTTACATGGTGATCAACATCCTTTATCCGTCATGGTTGGTGATTTTTTTATTTTTATTGTTGCAAACACTTAATGGCTTATTTCAGCAACCCAAAACATAAAACGGTGTTGAAACAGTATTAGATTACAAAAAAGCCAAAAGAAAAGAAACCTAAAGAAAGAAGGTAGTTGTGAGTCTTATTAAAGTATCATAATGTGCATCTGTATTGCAAGGATCTTGCTAAATGTGGATGATGGATTTTATCGTTTGAGTTTGAGAATGTGCGTCGCTTTAAATGTTACGCCGCAAAAAATTGTGGGACGGCATTCTCTCCGTTCCTTTCATAAAGGATGGTCCAGTGTATCCTATGCTAAAGGAGATATGAAAGGAAGCATTGAGGCACCTTTCCTTACCTTTTAGAGAATTTGAACAGCTCTTATCATGACTGCCACTGAAATACTTCCGGTTCACGTCACTCAGTTAGGAACCTTCCTAAGCAAAAAAGACTTTTCGAACGCAGCCTGTGTCTTTTTGATGGTGGGAGGAAGCCGGAGCACCCGGTAAGAACCCACGCAGACAAGGGGAGAACATGCAAACTCCACACAGAAAAGGCCAGGGAAACTGGGGTTTGAACCCATGACCTTTGTGCTGTGAGGCAACAGTGCTAACCACTACACCACCCTTGTTAGAAACATGTGAAATAGAAAAGGAGTTAAATTTTCAGTCAATCAGAATGATGCCAGTAGTTGTGGTAAATACAGGAAGTAGTATTTGTATGACTCTTCTATTGTTGTCTTTCACTGTGCGGGTCTGCGGGCACAGTAATACACTGCTGTGTCTTCAGGCTGCACATTCTGTCCGTTTAAAGTCACTCTGTTGCTGGAAGAGTCTAAGTCGATACTGAACTTGTTCTTTAGTGAATCTTTCACAGTTGTGTCCTCACTAATCCACTCCAGTCCTTTCCCTGCAGACTGTCTGATCCAAGCTGTGTAGTGGCTGCTAAGAGAATAAGAGACCTGACAGGTGATGGTCAGACGTTGACCTGGCTGCACAGTCACAGAGGCTGGCTGTGTCAACTGTTCACACTTCACACCTGTTAAAAAAAGAAAATGTTTAGTAACAAATGATCAAGTTATACTGCAAAAGAAGAACTGCTGACTTTGACAAATCCAGAGAGACTCACATCCAGCTGCCAACAGCAGCAGCAGAGCTACAGAAAACATGGTTTATGTTGAAAGTGACGTGCTGTGAACTCCACTGACAGCCTGATGGGAAGTTTTTATAGCTGAGTAACAAGGAAGGTCACTGAGTTTGCATAGAATCAAACACAATTGATGCATTTATAGAAACGAAACAAATGTAAACTTTGTTTTTAACTTCACCTATTTATGCTTAAATGGAGAATATTTCTTTGACAAGAACTCATTAAATATAACATTATGTAAATTGTTGTACCATTGCAAACAGCAATAAGGATTATTGTTACTATTTGTACTGACAATGTTAGCATGAATCATGGATAACGGAAAACTTGTTTATTAAAATCTATATTTAACAAAGATCATGTGCACCCATGGAAACAAAAGGAGCAACCAGCAAGACTGTTGCTTTCTATAAGCCATGTATGCAGTGTGTTTAGCATATTGTTTGAAATATATATATATTTTTTACAGAAATACAGTGACAGCAGCCAGGATCATGTAAATTGTGTTAAAAGTGTGATGCTGCTGGTTTTCAGGTTTGTATGAAAGACCTTTAACGGTTTCAGTATTTGCAGATGTTTGAAGACACTGACAACTTAAGACAGAGTAATAACTTGAAGCCTCAAGGTAAACAGCAGGAACTGAAACCTGTGTGACAAAATGCAAAAAGCTAAAAACTGTGGTAGTTCATGCATGCATGGGGTTGTGTGAAAAAATACGACCCAGTCTTAAATATATATATATTTGTTTTATATTATTGTTATTGTCAAGTTAAACAAAAATGAAATCCTCTCATGAAATATAACTTTAAAGCCAGTATTACTCAAATGTCTGTGCATCATTTTTAATGATTTGACCTGAGGACAGCATGAACGACAGTGCAGATTCTATCAGCCCAGTGAGGATGAGAAAAGACAGAGTTTTACTCAGCAATCCCAGATTTTTTTTTCTTACTGCAGATTGTTGTTCATCTACTTCCTGTCTGCAGAGAAGAACTGACACTGACAGATGGAGCTGCAGTCATTTAGTTAACACGCTGCTTCTTTAGGCGGCAGGTCTCTGGAGCAGCTGTATATGTGTTTTAGTACTTCTCTCTTTATTCTCTTTTGTTAAATAAATTCTTCAAAGACAACGGTTGGTTGTTACTCAATTCTTTACTCAACCCCTAACCAGAAATATAATTTCCAAAATATCCCTCTACCACATCAACAACCTCACATTATTAAACATTTTATTAAGCGTATCTGCTCATCAGTAGCTTGATATTATTCTTAAGTAGGACATATTTTTTTAGTTTGAAGGACATAAAGTGCACAGAGTAAATTATAGTAATGAATTAATCACTTGCAGCACAAGAACTATGCGATAACTGAATGCATTATACAATAACTAACAAAAACAATGATAAAGAATTAAATAAATACATATATGTATTGGATTAGTTTAGAAGAACGAAGATCTACTAACTGGGGCTTAGCCCAGCCCAGAAATCTTTCATGTTTTTCACCTGTTTTTTACCATCATAGATTTGCTATATTTTTAGGAATCTGTTCACAGTGATATATGCTAATAATAAACATTTATTTTATGAAATTGTTCAACGCTATTATGCTAAAGATCCCCGCCCTAGTAGTACAAGCTGTGCAAAATTCATTTCACATGTACTACATTCAAAGCAATCTGTCACTGTGCTGAAATGCCAAATTTCTGCAAATGCATCATACAGTGGGTACGGAAAGTATTCAGACCCCTTTAAATTTTTCACTCTTTGTTTCACTGCAGCCATTTTCCAAAAATCAAAAAAGTTCATTTTATTTCTCAGTAATGTACACTCAGCACCCCATCTTGACAGAAAAAAACAGAAATGTAGAAATTTTTGCAAATTTATTAAAAAAGAAAAACTGAAATATCACATTGTCATAAGTATTCAGACCCTTTGCCGTGACACTCATATTTCACTCAGGTGCTGTCTATTTCTTCTGATCATCCTTGAGATGGTTCTACACCTTCATTTGAGTCCGGCTGTGTTTGATTATACTGATTGGACTTGATTAGGAAAGCCACACACCTGTCTATATAAGACCTTACAGCTCACAGTGCATGTCAGAGCAAATGAGAATCATGAGGTCAAAGGAACTGCCTGAAGAGCTCAGAGACAGAATTGTGGCAAGGCACAGATCTGGCCAAGGTTACAAAAAAATTTCTGCTGCACTTAAGGTTCCTAAGAGCACAGTGGCCTCCATAATCCTCAAATGGAAGACGTTTGGGACGACCAGAACCCTTCCTAGAGCTGGCCGTCCGGCCAAACTGAGCTGTCGGGGGAGAAGAGCCTTGGTGAGAGAGGTAAAGAAGAACCCAAAGGTCACTGTGGCTGAGCTCCAGAGATGCAGTCGGGAGATGGGAGAAAGTTGTAGTAAGTCAACCATCACTGCAGCAATCCACCAGTCGGGGCTTTATGGCAGAGTGGCCCGACGGAAGCCTCTCCTCAGTGCAAGACACATGAAAGCCCGCATGGAGTTTGCTAAAAAACACCTGAAGGACTCCAAGATGGTGATAAATAAGATCCTCTGGTCTGATGAGACCAAGATAGAACTTTTTGGCCTTAATTCTAAGCGGTATGTGTGGAGAAAACCAGGCACTGCTCATCACCTGTCCAATACAGGTCTCAACAGTGAAGCATGGTGGTGGCAGCATCATGCTGTGGGGGTGTTTTTCAGCTGCAGGGACAGGACGACTGGTTGCAATCGAGGGAAAGATGAATGCGGCCAAGTACAGGGATATCCTGGACGAAAACCTTTTCCAGAGTGCTCTGGACCTCAGACTGGGCCGAAGGTTTACCTTCCAACAAGACAATGACCCTAAGCACACCGCTAAAATAACGAAGGAGTGGCTTCACAACAACTCCGTGGCTGTTCTTGAATGGCCCAGCCAGAGCCCTGACTTAAACCCAATTGAGCATCTCTGGAGAGACCTGAAAATGGCTGTCCACCAACGTTTACCATCCAACCTGACAGAACTGGAGAGGATCTGCAAGGAGGAATGGCAGAGGATACCCAAATCCAGATGTGAAAAACTTGTTGCATCTTTCCCAAAACGACTCATGGCTGTATTAGATCAAAAGGGTGCTTCTACTAAATACAGAGCAAAGGGTCTGAATACTTATGACCATGTGATATTTCAGTTTTTCTTTTTTAATAAATTTGCAAAAATTTCTACATTTCTGTTTTTTTTTCTGTCAAGATGGGGTGCTGAGTGTACATTACTGAGAAATAAAATGAACTTTTTTGATTTTTGGAAAATGGCTGCAATGAAACAAAGAGTGAAAAATTTAAAGGGGTCTGAATACTTTCCGTACCCACTGTATGTACAGTATTTTTTTGTCATATATTGCTCTGCTTTATCTTTCATTTGGATAAAATGTCCCCCAATTTTGACGTTTTCATCCTGTCTTTAGACTGACAGTAAAAACAAGAACACGAATATGAAACCAGGGGCGATTCTAGGATCAGACCTTTAGGGGTGCTCAGCCCCTAATGAGAATGTAGCATGCATACAATGTCTTGCAAAAGTGTTGTCAAGGGCGTCACTTTGTGTTGAAAACTGGTGGGAACATAAGGGCCCAGATTAGGGGCGTGATAATACATTTGGGTCATGAGACGTGACAATGCACGAGAACAAGGCAAGAAGATTTTTATCACTATTTAAATTAAATATTTGATGTTGAAATGTATGTGTGGGGGGTCTGGGGCTCCTCCTCCAGAAGATTTTGAGCATGAAACACATAATTTCCTGCATTCGTGAGACATTTTCTGCTCCAATTTATGGAGGAAATGTCTGTTTATGTCTTTATATGAGGGAAAACTATATTGCATTTCATGTTTTCTTAGTTTCCTGTCCAACTTTTCTCAAAGCATTTTCATTTGTTAGTTAACATTTCTTGGTGCAAGCTATTTTTCAGAACGTCTAACAAATGCATTCAAAAAGTGGTGGGGACAACACTCAGCCATTTCAAAATGTGGTGGGGACATGTCCCCAGCGTCCCCAGTGTAAATGACCCCTATGGGGTCAGTGGACCAGTTAGGGTCAGACGGCAGTGTGGAGCTGTGTGCTTGGGAATTGTGGAGCTGTAGACTCGTGTTTACTCTCTCAGAGGAGGGTGTTTGTTAAAAGAGTTCAGTCTTCTGTTTTAAGTTAAATCTTGTTACATGCTTGCTTTCTCTTTCAAGGAAGTAGTTTTCTGTTGCTGAGTTTAATTTGTTAATAAAAATCTTTATTTTGGTTGCACAGAATCTGTGTAGTATAAATTATTTATTAGTATAATAGTCTAACATTAAATTAAAACTAATTTCATAATTCTCCACTGATAACAGCTAATATACATACAAACATACATACATACATACACAGATTTCTCGCTTATAGATAGAAGGATGTTGTCTTGGAGTGATAACACATAGCAAACTGTTTTATTGTGCACCTATTTCTTCTGCTGCTGGGAGCAACTTCCACCAAGGAAGCAGTCCGTTAATTTGTAGCATTCAGCTGCCTTTTTTGCAGACATGTTTTTCTTCTTAATTCTTGTTTTTCGCCACCACACATTTCTTTTTCCTCTTTCTTTCTTTTCCATTCTTTTGCACTTCTCACTCGCCCCAGATGAAAACTAAACTCCTCTGACCGGTGCCGTTGAGCCAATCAGAATTCAGCAAAGACGAGGACCAGTCCAAGCTGGGAGGGGCCGCTCATATCCCCCCTCAGTAGTGAAAGTATTAGTTTGGCCCAGTCTGACGGACCCCAAACAGCGGTCTGACGCAACTGACCGGTTCGCCAGCGCAGTCGCGGATCATTTCGTAAAACATTAGAAACTGAAAAATGCCAGCATTTGGGGACATTAAATCTGTTTAATATAAGAAAAGTCATATGAAACTGTAGGCTAATTGGTTGTCCCCTCTCTTGCTTCTCCAAAATCTAACGTTAGGGGACAAAAACTATAATAATTATTGTATTATTTTTTTAGAGGTGCTTAAATGAAATTTAGGGGTGCTTCAGCAGCCCTAAAAATGGTCTAAAATCGCCCTCAAACTATCTATCTCTATATCAGCCATGAACTTACAGCTCTGCACCATACAGAAAAAACAAACAACATACACACACATTTGTACTGTATCTGGTATTTCTGCCTTTGTTTTTTTCTGTACCAGTGGTGAACAGTTTTTTCTTTTCATGCCACTCTTAGTCTTCCCTTTGATTATCCTAATGTAGTTAATGTATTTTTAATCATTTTGAGGTTTAGGCTGATGAAACAACTATTGTGAAGGTGTCATTTTGGGCTCTGGGCAATTGTCACAATGTCTCTCATGATTTCAGAATATTTACTATCAATTAATGGAGTAAAATTATCAGCGGATTAATCCATAATGAAATTTAATCATGAATTGCAGTCTGATACAAAATAGTTCAACCTCAACAAACTATACGGTACAATCCTGATTTTACATTGATGGAGGAATAATAATCAATAAAAACTATCTAATGATTTAACATATATTAGTAACAGTGACAGGGGACCTGACTATCCTTGCATACTTTTACTAAAGTAACATCTGGGATTTCTGCCTTGTCTGTACCTTGCATGTTCTGCATTTACTGTCATATTGTTTGATCAGACAATTCTGTGTATAATTTATCATGCTTTATCATGGTATTTCACATTTGTGAAAAAAGCTTACAATGACCTTTTTCTGAAGATGTTTTGTGTTGTCTTAGTCTGTGAGGGTGTGCGTCTGCTGTACGCATGTTAGCCACTTCAAGCCAGGATACATGCTGAAACAGTATTCAAATAAACAATAAAATATGAGTCTCGCACTTCGAGTAAGTTTATTTGTAGGTCTGACGGTTTCTACAAAGTTTCACTGCTACAGGTGCGGTCCCAGAGGTGCAGAGAGAGAGGGAAGTGACTCTCTAAAGATGATATGTTTAGAAACTCCAGGAAATTGAAAAACCTTCAGACTCTAACTGATAACAGATGTTTACAGTATGCTGACTTGATGTGGTGTTTTTTAAGATGTCACAGATGCTTTGAATTTTACATGCACACTTTTGATCATACCCATATTCCCTGTTTGTGTGTCTGTTCAAATTGAATGTATTGTATTTGGAAGTATCATATCTGTTGACTCAGTGATGAATGCAAATATGATCAACAAAATGACCAAACATGAAAAGCAAAGATTTGTACACAGTAAAATCAGCAAACCCAAATTAACACTCTCAGAGTTGATTTTAACACTTTTAAGTGTCTATATGGGTCCATACCAAAGAGTGTTAATTTTGCTCATTTTTGAGTATTAGTACCTTGACACTAATTAAGCACTTCTTAACACCAACCAGTGTTAGTTTTTCTTAACACTTTTAATTCACTGTTAGACATTAACTCTCTCAGAGGATCATTTTAAAGGTGTAAATATAGAAAAGTAAAGATGGACATGTTTGGTGTTTTAAAACATTTATTTTAATCCCTCAAAGAATTTGATTACATTACAATAAAAAAAAAGGTAACAGAATGAACACATTAGGCATGCATGCAAACTGCTAACTCATTAAATAGGTGTTGGGGTGACTAGTAACAGTGTTTCCACATAAGTTTAAGTTATGATGGCTCACCATTGCAAAACGACCAGGTGCCAGTAAAGTCAATATAAAATACAACATTAACAGGTCCAACTTCATTTTCTCATCAAACAGTGTTAAAGTTCAGATGCAAGTCAAAAGTAGAGTCCCTAGCAGTGGAGTGCTTTCATCAAAATGTATGTAGGCCTATGCAGTGGGGGCAAGAGCAAATGTCAGTGCAAAAGCCGGGACCAGAGTCAAGAAGAAGTTCAGAGTTATTTACACAATTACACTTACAGGTTTAATTTTGTGACACTTTTTTGTGTTTTTACACTCGGTTTTGACATCAACTACTTATCAACTGAGTCAAATATAATGGATTTGACTCTATCAAGAGTGGAATTAACTCTGCTGTTACTTAGATTATAAGAAAGTCCGTTTTTGACCGTACAATGGGTTATTTACATTTCCGTGACAACTGTTTTCAGTCCAAAAACAGCTTTGTATCAACAGAGATCGTCTGTCGGGCCACCATCTTGGTGAGGTCGGCTGCGGTCTTAAGTTTTGTTTGTGTCACCAGATATAAGGGCAGAAGAAGAGTGTAATTTGGCAGAAGCGATTTTTATCGGCCTCTGCTGGCAAAATTCATAAACATAAACAGTAAATATGGCCAAAACATGGACATTTGTGTGGTATGTTTTTGAAAGATTGTGTAATAACAGTTGCATATCAGTTTCTTTTCATCAAATTTACAGTTACAGTTGTATTCCAGGTGTATTAGAAGATATTCATTGCATTATATGCATTATAATCTACCTTAGGATGGTTTTGATAGTTTATTGCATCAAAATATAGCTTTTTATACCAGGCGAGAAAGAAAATATCACATTTTTTCTGTATTTCATATCCATGTAGTCTGTAATGGTAAAATAAATATGTTAATCTACAATGGATTTATATTCCTTAGCTTCTGACCTTTCAAAGGAGGCCAGAATTATTCATCTAGGCCTAATAGTTGAGGAGCTATTACTGATTTATTTTGGGTATGTTATTTTAGGTGTTTTTCCTAGAAATAGGTGCCAGGAACCATGTTTAAAACCACTTCACTAACACATTTTAATGATACTAAAAGTTTTAGTAATCATTTACTTCTGTATCATGATGTGATAACAATCTAAATTTATTCATATAAACAGTTAAGAATTCCATTTTCAATGTTTAGTTTATCATTGACTATGACAACCACTTCATTTAGTAGATGTGCAGTAGATTATTGATAATGTACAAGTTTTAAAACTAAATAAAAAAAAAAAAAAGTAGAGTAAAACTGGAGACCTGTAGTCGTCTATGCTGTCCATCCATCTCATCCTTTATCGTCTCTTCATCTGTAAAAATAAACTACAATTAAAACACTTGTTGAGTTGAGTTTCACCCAGCTGGATAACTGAAGCCCAAATGTTCTGTCTCTTCACTACAGCAGATAGTTGGCCAGATGATTTGCTGCAGGCGGACAGCTGGACTGGATAATTGGTTCATTTTAATAAAATTTTTCAAGAACTTGCATAAAAAATGTTTATCTTCAGACACCAGAACACAGTAGGTACATGTGATTTGTTACTTAAAGAAGTAATTTGCCATGTTTAATTCAATAAATTGTTAATATATTACTTTGTGCAGTGCAGCATTTAAAACAGAAACTGCTGCTAAACGTTTATCAGTCTGTGCTGGTTGGCTGTGCCAATAAAAGAAGAGAGCTAGTGAACTGATAATGATGCATTTCACAGCACTGAACTGTGTGATTGTCTCCAATAAAATCAACACAATAAACCTGGAATATCACATTCTACATTTAACATGAGGTTTGTTACACCCAGATAGAGCAATTCACCAGTCAGAAATAATTATTTGGCACCAGTTAACTTTTTTTTCAAGATCATGTGCACTGCACAAACTGGACAAACCTGGAAAAGTCACAAGCACAGACAGAAAATCACCAATTTTCAGTAACATCTTTGTTCTTTTCTTCTCCTGCACAATCTTGTCACAGTTGTCAAAATTGTCTCTCCTTTATGTGGCATTTTTATCGTTTGCATGACTGAGCTTTATTTTGTAACTTCTACCGTACTTAGTCAAACTGTTTAATTATTTTCAGTAGATATTCAAATCCTGTATTATATCTTATGCAGTCTTTAGTCCTGAGTATAAGTGAAATGTAGAAATGCCCTGCATGTTTACCTTGACCAGGCTGAATATCATGCTATAGAAGAGAGAGGATATGAAGAGGAATATGAAGGAGGAGGTTGTGGACCACAGACTGCTGAACTCATCCTCTTCAATGGCATCCTCTATGCAGCTCAGAGCCCAACTCTGTTTTGACTCTGGTGGAAAATCTAGCAAGAGGAAGGTATAGGTGATTAGATGAGGAGTGTGTGTGTGTGTGTGTGTGTGTGTGTGTGTGTGTGTGTGTGTGTGTATGCTTTATTAAGATAACATAAAAACACCCTTTTTTCTCTAGAATAATGCTCATAAACTTGAATCGAACATTATTCACTCTTTGATCACTTCATGTGGGGACGGTTCTCCAGTTAAACAGTTCAGTATGCTACTGTGACTTTGTGCTTTTTTTCCCAGTGTGTTTAAAAAAAAATTATTTATGTAACAAAAGTGTCTCCATGCAACATTTATTTGAAACAGTCAGCACACTTCTCAAGCTGTTAGACAATGTGACAAAGACAGAAACACAATATGATGACAAACAAAACTAAATTAACATGTTGACACTTATTTTTACAATCACAAAGACTGATGACATCACAGAGTGCACAGATTCACAGTGGAGTACACACAGAGACAGAGCAACGTGTTAGCACGAAATACCACATTTATAGCTGCATCTACTATTTTCTACATTCAAGTGAGTTACCCTGGGCCTTAGACACTCCTTTGGGTTTCACAGACACACTTCTACCAGCAGGCCAGACGTTGCAGTTGAACATGTTGTGCTTGTCCCACTTTTCCTTGGTGGTGGTGTAAATACTTGTAACTAAGTAGCCTTGTTGGATCTTCTGTGGGGGGAAGTTAATGCCATCCATATAGATGCCGGCCTTATTTTCAGTTCCCTCTGACCAGGCGATGTAGTAATCCTGCATCACAGGACCAGAGACCAGACACACCAGAGAGACCACAGCTCCTTTGCTGATGTCCTCCTCTGGGAGAACATGGACTGTCACTTTTGGCTCACTCCCATCTGAAAGAGACACCAACAAGGTTTATATATATGCTTTTATTTTTGCTATAAACAGATTATGTGTTGCTGCCTCCCCAGACCTACAGATTACTGTTCTACCAATCAGTCTCCATCACTCAGTAACATACCTCCTTTGTGGACAGTCAGATCCTGAATAACTGGAGTCATATCATCTTTAATGGCAGAACAGCGCACTTTGTTGACTCTCTGCCACTCAGTCAGAGTCATTGTACTGGTTTTGCTGTGCTGACCGCCGCTGGACGATGTTGATTCAGCAATGTTGTTGGTCACATTTTGTCCATCAATTTGCCAAGTGACTTGAATTGTATTTACAATTGTCTTGTCTTGTCCTGTAATGATACACTCCAACTCTGCCCGGTTGTTGCTGAAAATTCCTTTGGCACTTGGTTGGTTCAGTGTCACTTTGAATGGAGCTACATAAAAGAGAACAACAGAGTCCAACATTGTACCATTAGAAAACTGCAAACTTTGCAATTCATGTCAAGATCCAGCATAAACTACTTTATCTCACTATTTAGTGTTAACCTTTATAGCACTGTACCTTTTGAGGCCTTCTTTTTATATTGTGTTTCTCTGTAAGTCACCTCACAGGTATACACAGCGTTACTGTCCCAGTCTGCGTTGTTGACCTTCAGGACACTGACAGCTGAATATAAGTCTCCAGTTCTTTGGATGGGACTTTCAATGTAGTCGTTCAACTCTGCGTCATTCTTTTTCCACTTGAATGAATCAAGTGTTCCATTACTGCCCTCAATCGTGCACACCAGGGCCTGGGTGTCTTCACTTGGCACTGATAGCAAAGTCATTTTTGGAGGAATAGGCTCTGAACAGGTGAAGGAAACAGCAGTTATAGTCATTTATTGCGATAGTATTCTGTATCATTCACCTGCAAATTGATAAGATGATTGTGCTGTGTGTTTCAGGCAGACAAAGGAAAATGTGAGGGAATAAATATTGTTCTACATTCATTGATAAAAGCAGGATGAATGAGGAGGACATATTGATAAGAAATAAGAGGCATTAGTAAAATGAAAAATCACATACTTTGTACTTGCAGATTTTTGGGAGATCCGTTGTGATTTACAGAACATTTAAAAGACTTCCTTGAATCCCAGTCAGATTTTGATACTTTGACCAAACTGACTCCTGTATATTTGTTGTTTTTCTCAGCTGGAGGATAATTTTCAGAAGTCAGGGTTCTCCCACTGGCATCGGTCCACTGGAATGTAAGACTCTTTGGGTAGAAGTCACGTGCAAAACAACCAACAGTGATTTTATCTCCAGACCCAGGTTGGCACTGAACCAAAGGGAACAGAGTGGGTGGTGTTGGTGGTGTGGGTGTTCCTGAGAAAGTGTCAAAACATGTAAATATAAATACAAGAACACAGATGATCAATAGCTTGTCTAAACTCTGACTACAAAATATTAATAAAGCGAATAACATGCTCTTTTGTTATCTTTATGACCATGTAATCACCATGACAATAATATATCCCATCAGTATCATTAATATTAAAATGCTGAAACATAAAATGATCTTTACCCTTTCCCAGCAGCAATATCATGTTTATATAAATAATATACTGGCTAATGTAAAAACATCTGCAGGATAGCACCGATAACTCTTTGACTGATGAAAGTGAAAAGAGAGAAAAATCATTTTAATGAATACTACATTCTAATAAATAATGTCCTATTGATTATTTTGTTGTTTTTTAGTTCAGATTTGATCATACAGTGGCACTAATATGTAATATTGCATATTTCCTACTCTTTGGTTAAACGTAATTAATCACTTGTTAATTAAATATTTGCCATGTGTGGCATCGGTCCACTGGAAAGTACACTTTGGGTGGAAGTCAACCAAGAGTAATTTTATCCCCAGTCCCAGAGTTACACTAAACCAAAGGGAACAGAGTCGGTGCAGTTCCCTTCAAAGAGGAGATTTGTTAAGTTTAAAATAACAAATGCGGATCAATTTACACAAGCCATGTTTCCATCTAAGTGTCACGCGAATTTTAAGGGGTCTTTTGAAATGTCGCAAAAAAGTGCTGAATGCTAAATAGTTGTGTTTCCATCAGTGAGTTTGGAGCGAATAAACCAGGTTACGGCAAGCGTAGCTACGTCAGTAGTTGACGTTAATAAACAAGATGTAGGGACTATGGGTTCCAAAAAACAAACAAAACCAGTCACATGGAACTGATGGCCATTGATCTTAGAAAAACGTAGAGAGGTCCTCAGGAATGTGTTTCAAGCGGGCAAGTTCCTATAAGCCATCTCTCCGCAAATTATGGGAATATGCGACACGACGACAGCAGAAACATCTGATGAGATGTGAGTTACAAGTTCGCTACATCAGAACTTATTCGGCAAAAGTGTTTCCATCTCCCTTTTAGCATATTTACTCTTTTTCAAAAAAGGCAAAAAACAATTGATGATGCAAATTTTGTCGTCTCCATTAACCTTTTCTAATGCGATACTTCAAAATGCGCATAAAAAAACTTTGATGGAAACACGGCTACAGACAATCATTTGCTCATCTTTAAACTCAATTATTGGTTGAATGTTTTTACCTCAGAATTAAAATATGGAAACCCAAAGTGTTCAATGTTTAATCATAATAACTACCATACATGTGACATACATGAAATTGTGAACTAATTTAAAAAGTGTTTAAAACATTTAATTAATGAGCACTTTGGGTATAATATTAAACATACTTTATTTTATCTTTAGAAACATGTGAAGACTGACTACAAAATCAGCATCACTGTAAATATGAAAAAGCTTCATTGTTGTAGGATGTAAACAACACTGAATTGATCTTAAAAAGCTTAAAAAACTGTTTCTATAGTACCTAATAAAAAAGACTGGAATATATAAATCACCATCAAGTTAGCACTGTAACACATTTATTATTATTTGTGCTTTTCTGTCCAGCACACAGATAAACAGACCAGAGCTGAGCATGTTAAAACAACGGCAAAACCACAACTGCTGCTTTGTGGGATCAAGGGTCAATATAATATATAACAATAATAATTAATGTATTAAATTATTTCTGATGATGATTTTGTGCTTTTTTTAACAGTGAATCAAAAAACCTAAAAATGTTTTTGGGAAGAATTACAGATACTTGATGTGAAATGATTCCTCTAAAAACCTTAAGTGCAAATGCATACAGTCCTTTAAAAGTCGTCCCTGTGGTATTTCAAATTAAATTATATACTATAGCCTACTACGTAACATGCTATATAACACAATGTACTTCATTATGTCTTTGTTCAGTGTTCTGTTGTTTAATTGAAACGCATACTGAACCCGCATTTAAACACACAAAGAAAATATATATTACTATGTTGAAGGGAAACTTCTTACAAAACAAAATGCAGGTATGGTGCTGTACAGCATATAATTACTGTTCACAGCAATAAAATGTGTTGAATAATAATGTGAATAAAAAGATACAGACATTCATCATCATAAATTCTAATCCAACTGAATACATTTTAAAATCAAGTCAAACCACCTCCTGCATTAAGCGATAATTCCAAACAAGAACTTTTTCAAACACTTTCTAAGAAACAGCTGCGTTAAAAACATCTGGCTGCTCTGTTTTCTAGTTTGTCCAACATGAGCATGAACTGAAATAAGACCATGATGTAAACCTCACCAGCAATATTTATATTAATAAAAGAAAAAGAAACTAGTCAGTAAATATATAATTTAAATGTGTCTTACCTGTAGATACTGTGACTTCAGTCCCACGACCCCAGTAGTCGAAGAAATCACAGTGCTGCATCTCCACTCACTGCTTGTACAAAAACCTAACGTACCGGGTAAAATGTGTTAAAAGCGCATTAAGTGTATGAAATACACAGAAATCCTGGTCAGTTTTGTATCCTGGTGTCATCTATGTGTTTTGTGTTTATTCTTAATCAATTCTTTAAGTTAAGATTTACTGGATGGTAACATTTATATCTGGGCCCTAAATGTGACTCGAAACTACTAACTTAATACTAAGTACTGATCTTCTTGTTAAAAATAATAAACACAGTAGTTACCTCATATTCCAATGAGAAATGCTTTGTCCTGTCCTTTTTCCATCACAAGAAATGCAGAGTGTCAGATTATTGCTCTTAAGTTTTTGTATGGATCTATATCACAGTGCCACCCCAGCTATCACAGTGACAAACCCTAATACAAAAACCAAACACTGTTTCCTGCACTGGAGAGTCAGGGGACCTACGTCAGGAGTGGCTAAGAATAAATCAACAAAACTATATTTAAGGTTAAAGTTGGTGAATTTTTATTTTGCAGTATACTGATTCTATACTTTATCAGTTTATCACTGTATTTTTGATTTGTAATCATCATTCTTTCAATAATATACCATGGCAAGCCACATTTTAATCTCAACAACTGAAAAGAATCCCACTGTTCTCGTGTATATATATATATATATACAGTATCTGTCTATCTATCTATATATATATATATATATATATACCAACAATGTTGGTATATTTAAACTCAGGTTTTGATAGACTTGAAGTACAATGAACAAAATACATGAAGAGCAATTGATAACATGTCAAATGACAATAATTACTTTTGTTATAAAATTAATAAATGTGTAAATATCAAAGGATTGATGAATCTTTAAATATGATTCAAGTTTTATTTAATTTGTTCTTTTTGGCAGCCATCAGTAGATATGAGGGGTAAATAAGGACTAAGATAATTTTTTTTTGTAATTGTTTTACATATAAAGTCCTGCTCAGTTTCATAACAAGAGATGATCAACTTGATGGTGTGTAAACTCCACTCTTTGTTTCAGTTTAGGACAAGGTAGAATTAGGGGATGTTTTAAAAACAACTTGTATAAAGTGGTTTTACAGCACTTTCTATCAGTGGCTGTCACAGTAACATCTGCAGTGGTTTGTGTACAGCTCTGTGGCTTCCTGTATCACTGAGCCTTTGAGCACAATAATAAACAGCCGTCTTCAGTCGTCAAGCTGTTCATCTGCAGAAACACCTGCACATCATTGTCTCTGGAAATAGTGAAGCATTTCTGGACCGACGTGGAATAACCTTTGGTGCCTCTGGTCGGAGCAGAAATGAAAGCAACCCACTCCAGTCCTTTTCCTTCAGCTTGTCTGATCCAACTGATATCAGCGCCACCATCTGATGTTCAGGTCAGTTTGAGGGATTCTATATGCTTCTTCACCACTGGTTAACACTCTGCTGGAGTCTGACTTCAAACACCTGTGGAGGAGTCAGACAGCAACAGAAACCTTGATATAGAAAAAGATGCAGAAGCATGTGTTCACCAGAAATTGATGATAGCACCAGCAACATTATACATATAGCTAAAGTCATAGTGAAAATGTGTTGTTTTTCTGGTCAGTAATTTGATCTCTTTTCTTCAGTTTGAAGTGAGATATATAAAGATGAAAGAGATCAAGATTTGAAATGACTCCTCACAGCGCTGAAAATCGATTTATGGGATTTGATCACTCAGAAGGTAATTTGTTGATTATATTAAGATATTAATTACAGACAGATTCTGATTAATTGTCTTTTTTTAAGTAAGTTTCAGGTTTCAGGGCACACACAGAACAGCTACGTTTTGTGGTACATTGTTTTGTCATTTTATGGCCAGAAAAGAGGAACAAATTTGGTAACAGAGTTGTATCAGGATTTTGTCCAATGTCCAAACCGCCGGCCTCTTTCATGGTTACAGGGAGGAGCTGTTCTTCTTAGTGCACATTGAACAAGACAGGTTGAATACACACATGTAGTACTAGGTACACGGAAAAAAAACACATACATACAGAAGTGCAATTGAAAAAAATTATGTTACCTATAATATTTTGTAAGTCGGTTAGTGTTTCCTCACTGACATTGCTCCCCTGTGTGTTCCATGTAAAGCCATTGCTGGGATCAGTACTATAAGCACAGTTGGCCCTTGTGTGCTCTCTAGAGTTTTAAGGGACAGACTGCAACTATTTTCTATTTCAATAAAATGTAACTCTGAGGGTTGCCACCTTCATTATAGAAAAATAAGGGACACCTGCCACAGCGGGGACCACACCCACCCGACAACAACAGGGGTTGCCAGTGGTGGTATATCACAAATTAAAACATGTTTTCAGAGAAGTATTAAGATTAATACCAATGGACATTATAATAAGCTCTCTAATATTGAAATCAGTGTGAACAGATGCACTCAGTCTCTCATTATCACAACTCAACAGACTAGTGATCATATTGTCATGGCTGTAAACATCATGAACATCAGTGGACCTGAAATGTTAGGCCTGCTTATAAATGTTTTCTTGTCAAAAGCTCACTCCTCATGAGCTCCACAAAGCATGTGTGCTTGCTGTCACTTTGTTGGTCATTCTGGAAAATATCCTTTCCATATAACCATGCTGTGATGCTCATGTTGATGGACAGGATGAGAAATTGCTAACAAATTGAGTAATTGTAAAGGGTGGTGTGAACTTGAATTTTGGTTAAAATCAAGTCATTTTTACACCCTAGACAGGTCGCCAGTCCATCACAGGGTCACACATAGACAAACAACCACTCACACTCGCATACACACATAAGGACAATTTTAGAGACACCAAGTAACCTAGCCTGCATGTCTTTGGATGGTGGGAGGAAGGGGGTTTGAACCCCCTATCTACAAACGTTTCTAAATTTAATTTATTATAATTTTTATGACTGGCCAGTATATAGCTTATATTTATTCTTCATTTTTATTTAGCCTATTGGTAATTCTACAGTATTGAAGGATGCAATTCTATAGGTAGGTTAAGCATAACGGGGGATTTCTGGAGTATTGTTTCAACTTGACTCCCTGCTAAGAGACCCGGCCTTAACTGACACTGATTGGCCCTGAACCTGACGGTATTTATCAAACCAACAATGGCAGCTAGTATTACCCAATCAGGGGTACAAAAGGACAAGTCTTCACAGAATGAGAAACAGAAGTTTGATGATGCAGACCAAAAGTTGCGGTCACAAGGGACACTAAATCCACATCACTACAGACTAGCTGCACCAAAAAAAAGGGGGAGAGTGTACAGATTCCTGTGACTTTAAATGGAATTCCAATACAACCTGTGGACACCGGAGCTCAGATAACAGTAATCTCCGAGAATCAGATATTCCTGGGAGGTGATCCGACAAGCCTACATACCTTCTAAAAGTAGGAGTTGCTGATGCCATGAAGGACAAACATGGACTGGAAACAATTGACTGAGAAGTACACATATGACTCTGTCCTCCTAGGATTGGATCTAATTAAGTCCCATAGTGTTGTCATCCACAGCCGTGACAGTTTTCATTGATGACAAACTTGTGCACTCTTGAATTGTTAGAGGTGAGGGATCGGACTATTGTGTTGCCAAAGTGACACTGGGCGAGTCCACTTCCATATCATCTAAGTGCATGGTGTGAGGCAAGGCGGAAGACCCAAGTCCAGTTGTTCCAGCTGTACTAGAGCCTTTGAAAATCACTGCTGCAGCTGTGGCCTCTGAAGTGTTGCTACCACCATGGAGAAGCTGGTGCCGGTCTGGCTATGCAACTTCTCAACCAGCAAAGCCCGGCCAAAAGGAGCATGCCATGGACTCATTTGAAGCTTATCCTGAAGAGCAATTATGTTCACCTGAGCAAAGTGCAGTGCCCAGCATAGAGCACGAGTCAGAGGGTTCGCCCCTAGTGGTGGTTGGAAGAGTGTGGGCGTAAATTTCATCTCACAGTAGGGGGGGACAATAAACATAAAATTTCACGAGAGCAATTTTTGAGGGGGACACAAATAATACAGCCAAAATTGTACTTCTAGGCCTATAGGATATGTGTACGCAAAGAGAAGTCTACAATTATTTTTTCTAAGATCTATAACTGACAGCATACACAAACATTTTTGTAACTATGTATTGGAAAAATCAATGATTCCCATCAGCACCAGTATAAATGTTGGCTAATCTCACTGGTCTCAATTGTTTACACGCATGCCCAGTGCACCTGAACGGGTCCTAGCTGTGCGTTTTCAGTCAGCCCTTTGTTTTAATTCTCCGTTTGTAAACTAAAACGGAGTAGTGTGGATGGGGCCTTAGTGAGGAGCAGCAAAAACCTTTTATCCAGCTACTGGATGAAACGCTTGCTTTCAAACATTGCCAGACTGTTCACCAGACAAGAGCTATGAAACAACACCATAACTCTATTGATAAATAAAAAGTAAAAGTTTCAACAACAGCCACAAACATCACAACACTACTAGCGTGGGACTTATGTGGGACCCACAGTAATGTTGGCCTTGTTAATGGATTAGACAGATTGGGGAACACTAAACAGTGTATTATTTTGTTGTTTTGTATGTTGTGACAATCTGATGTATATATTCTTGTGCAATAATAACTGTTTATTTTAGTAGGTCAGCTTATGGTTAGAATATGAGGGTCGTTCTACGAAATGGGTGACATCTGTCCCTCTGATATATTTGCATGTAATAATGACTGTGTTCAAGTTAAGCATTTATAATTTAAAGGTTTCATTATATGAGTTAGTTTTCTTAATATCAGAAGCACATTACTAATATAATCCCATTATCGAGCAATAAAACACATTTCTATAACTTTTGAAATACAAATTTTGACCTGTCCCATGGCAGAATTGTTGGAGCCCGTTTTCATCTCGGGGCGTTATATACCGACGATTTGAGAAAGAGTGACAAAGCGTAGTTATTTGATGCTAAAGGTACCCTTTAGTGTCTGTGTGAGACGCACTGGGGCGACAGACCGGAAGTGCTAGCTAGCTAGCTAGCTACGTTCGTGATAAAGGTGTTGACAGCCCCCCGAAGCCCCTACCTTTACCACAACCATCAGAAATGTTAGTACCTAAACCTAAGTCACTGAATGTATGCATGTCGACCGGCTTACCCTACAGCTGCGCAGGAAATGTATGCTTAGATACATCGAGATGCAGACTTGGACAAATCTGAATCACATATGTCACACAGTGAATTTTTAAATGTTAATTGATAATGTAATGTTGATAGTAGTAAATGAGTGCCACAACTAAACTTTCGCAACTAATGATTTTCACTCATTGTGCTACAATGGTAACACTCAATGCTTTGCATAAAGATGCATCATAAATTTTTTTATAATTGCAA